GAGCGAACCAATGCATTTGAGAAAACAGTTTAAAAGCTTGGCATTCTATTAAAAATCCTTTGACCAGTACAACGGAGTAACAGGGATACATTTAACAGTGTGACAAAGGTAGGGACATCATCCGTTTCAGTTCAAAACTGAGTCAGACTGAGCTCTACTCTACCAAACACTTCCCTGTATTAATGTGATGAGGTTCTAGGGAATGCTTTCCCCACAGTACTGCATTAACCCCACTCCCAATCCAATAGGTCAGTGCACCACTGGTTCAATGTCTACTGGACAAGGAAGCAAGAGAGGGACTCACAAACAAACAAAGTTCAGAGTGCAATGTTTGTGCAAACAGAAAACTGGCCCAGTTTGTAGGTCTTGCACCAGGAGAGGCGAAGAGAAAACCTCAAAGGCCAGGCCAAGAGCATTGGGTCTGTTGGGCAGCTCTCAACCCGGACCCCAAAGTGGATCTGGAGACATATCCCAACATTTTTGGAGAGGGCACCTCCTGAAATGACCCTTCTTTCCCCCAGGCTCATGGCGGGGTCCGACTCCCCCAAAAGGCCCCCAATTTGGGAGGAAGGACACCATGGGCTTACTTGCCAGCGTGTAATCCATATCAAAACCAAAACACTTGATCTTCTCCAGCGCCAGGCTCCGGTTCACAAAGATCCTGGAAAGCAAGAGGAAAGTGAGAAGCTGGCTCCCATTTGGGGGAGCCGTCGAGAATCCTTGAGTTGGAGTAACCCACTCATAGAACCCTCCATTTGGAAGGGAACCCTAAAGGCCATCTAGTCCAACCTTCTTCTGCCAGGCAGGAACAGCACCATCAAAGCTGCCCCAATAGATGGTCATCCAGCCTCTGCTTAACAATAATAATGAAACTATAGAATCTTAGAGTTGCAAGGGAACCCTAAAGGGCATCCAGTCCAACCCTCTTCTGCCAGGCAGGAACAACACCATTAAAGCTGCCCCAATAGATGGTCATCCAGCCTCTGCTTAACAATAATAATGAAATTATAGAATCCTAGAGTTGCAAGGGAACTCTAAAGGGCATCCAGTCCAACCCCTTTCTGCCAGGCAGTAGAAGCACTATCAAAGCTGCCCAATAGATGGTTTTCCACCTTCTGCTTAACAATAATAATAAAACTATAGAAAGCTAGGAAGGCAACCCTAAAGAACATCCAATCCAACCCCTTCTGCCAGTCAGGAGAAGCACCATCAAGGCAGCCCCAATAGAGGGTCATCCAGCCTCTGCTTAACAATAATAATGAAATTATAGAATCCTAGAGTTGCAAGGGAACTCTAAAGGGCATCCAGTCCAACCCCTTTCTGCCAGGCAGTAGAAGCACTATCAAAGCTGCCCAATAGATGGTTTTCCACCTTCTGCTTAACAATAATAATAAAACTATAGAAAGCTAGGAAGGCAACCCTAAAGAACATCCAGTCCAGCCCCCTTGTGCCAGGCAGGAGACGCACCATCAAAGCAGCCCTCACAGATGATCATCCAGCCTCTGCTTAACAATAATAATGAAACTATAGAATCTTAGAGTTGCAAGGGAACCCTAAAGGGCATCCAGTCCAACCCTCTTCTGCCAGGCAGGAAAAGCACCATCAAAGCTGCTCCACTAGATGGTCATCCAGCCTCTGCTTAACAATAATAATGAAACTATAGAACCCTAGGAAGGGAACCCTAAAGAGCATCCAGTCCCACCCCCTTGTGCCAGGCAGGAGAAGCACCATGAAGACAGCCCTAATAGATGGTCATCCAGCCCCTTCTTAACAATAACAATAAATCTATAGAATCCTAAAATTGGAAGGGAATCCTAAAGGGCATCCAGTCCAACCCCCTTCTGCCAGGCAGAAGCACCAACAAAGTCCTCCTGACAGATGGCCATGCAGCCTCCTCCCTCCCCAAGAGCATCCTCACCGGTGGTGGTGGTCTCTCTTGACAGGGGCCCTTGGGGCCTCAGGGGGCCACGCCTCCTCCTGGGGGGTCCCTTGGAAGATTGGCTTCCTCTGCTGCTTCTTCATGTTGCTTCCTTCTTCTCGGGGGATGCTGCCCATCCTCTGGCCTGGATCACCTGTGCCCCCCCCCAAAACGAACCCCCCTCTCACCACCTTCCTCCTCCGCCCCTTTTTGGATGCCAATGTCAATAGAGGAAAGTAAACACTGCGCCACTGAGGCTGAGCCAAAGCAAAGCAGAGGCAGAGAGGAGTTCAAAGGTTGTGGAATGCAGGGGGGATGGACGGATGGGACACACATATTATGCATCTGCATTAATGTCCATTGGAGGGCAAATTTTATTTATTTATTTATTTATTTACGACATTTATATGCCACCCTTCTCACCCCGAAGGGGATTCAGAGTCGATTACAAGATATATATACATATATTATTAGAATAATACAATATCAGTATTAAATATTACTATATTGTATTATAACATTATATTGTAATACTAGCTGTCCCCTGCCACGCGTTTGCTGTGGCCACATGGGGGTTCTGTGTGGGAAGTTTGGCCCAATTCTATCTATTGGTGAGGTTCAGGATGTTCTTTGATTGTAAGTGAACTATATATCAGCAACTACAACTCCCAAATGTCAAGATTCTATTTTCCCCAAACTCCACCAGTGTTCACATTTGGGCATATTGAGTATTCGTGTAGAGTTTGGTCCAGATCCATCATTGTTTGAGTCCACAGTGATCTCTGGATGTAGGTGAACTACAACTCCAAAACCAACGGACACTGCCCACCAAACCCTTCCAGTATTTTCTGTTGGTGGGAGAACTGTGTGCCAAGTTTGGTTCAATTCCATCGTTGGTCGGGTTCAAAATGCTCTTTGATTGTAGGTAAACTATAAATCCCATCGACTACAACTCCCAAATGACAAAGATTCTATTTTCCCCAAACTCCACCACTGTTCACATTTGGGCATATTGAGTATTTGTGTAGAGTTTGGTCCAGATCCATCATTGTTTGAGTCCACAGTGCTCTTTGGATGTAGGTGAACTACAACTCCAAAACTCAAGGTCAATGCCCACCAAACCCTTCCAGTATTTTCTGTTGGTCATGGGAGTTCTGTGTGCCAAGTTTGGTTCAATTCCATCATTGGTGGAGTTCGAAATGCTCTTTGATTGTGGGTGAACTATAAATATCAGCAACTACAACTCCCAAATAACAAAATCATCATTTTTTGAGTGATGGTCACTTCTTGTGTTGTGAGATGTTTTGATGCCAAATTTGGTGTGATTTCGTTCATTGGTTCTTTTGTTTTCTATCATTTATGGGGTTCAGAATGCTCTGTGATTGTAGGTGAACTATAAATCCCAGCAACTACAACTCCCAAATGAACATTAGGTTTTCCCACAAACGAACATTACAATTTTATTTATATAGATTATGAGTACTATTACATGTAATATAAATATATAATTATAATATATAATTATTATTACTATTATATTGCATTACATTATAATATTATAAATATTATCAAAGGTCCCTTATTCTATTCCATTTATTGATTTGCACAGTTGCCCACTTGCCGAATGGGAACCTCAATCAGAATGATAACCCTGGCTATGTTTCCAAGAAGGACCCCACGCTCTGCCCGGCCCCCTCCCCTACTCTGAGGTGACCCAGACCCACAGAGCAAAGGCCAGGACAGCGAGACCTTGGGGCATCCAGGCTTTGACCAAAGAAGTGACAAGTGTCATAACCATTAAGCTATTGAGTTATGACATCTCCTGCTTAGTCCTTCAGTTCATGGACAAACCAGGAGGAACAGACTTGCAGGAAACTAGGAAGCATGCAATACAGGTCAATTGATCAATTGCTCTAGTTAAACAGTTAAACTTGCGCGCCAGCTGCGCCCATACCTTGGGAAGTCTGACTTGACCACGGTAGCGCACACTCTGGTTACATCCCATATAGACTATTGCAACGCACTCTACGTGGGGTTGCCTTTGAAGACTGTCCAGAAGCTTCAAATTGCCAACGGATGGCAACCAGATTGTTAACAGGAGCGGTGCTCAGGGAGCATACTTACTTTCTTTACTTACTTAGGCGATCCCTCGTTGGACGAGTAAGGTGGTCTTCCTTGATGACTATTTTTGTGGGTTTGTACGTGGCTGTGGAGCCCTATTCTTGACCCGCATCTTCTCCCACAGTGAAGGCATTGGTTTCCAGGTGGAAGGCGGTCCCGGTCGGGGTTGGCTTGACTGCGCCTTCCTCCTGGCACGTTTCTCTCTTTCACCCTCCACTCGTGCCTCCTCGAATTCTGCAGCACTGCTGGTCACAGCTGACCTCCAGCTGGAGCGCTCAAGGGCCATGGCTTCCCAGTTCTCAGTGTCTATGCCAGAGTTTTTAAGGTTGGCTTTGAGGACATCTTTAAATCTCTTTTCCTGTCCTCCAACATTCCGTTTTCCGTTCTTAAGTTCAGAGTAGAGCAACTGCTTTGGGAGGCGGTGGTCAGGCATCCGGACAACGTGACCGGTCCAGCGGAGTTGATGACAGAGGACCATCGCTTCAATGCCGGTGGTCTTTGCTTCTTCCAGCATGCTGACGTTTGTCCGCTTGTCTTCCCAAGAGATTTGCAGGATTTTTCAGAGGCAACGCTGATGGAATCGTTCTAGGAGTTGCATGTGACGTCTGTAGACAGTCCACGTCTCGCAGGCATAGAGCAGGGTTGGGAGGACAATAGCTTTATAGACAAGCACCTTGGTATCCCTACGGATGGAATCGTTCCAGGAGTTGCATGTGATGTCTGTAGACAACTCCTCTGTTGCACCAGCTCCAATTTGCTACTGGGCAAAATTCAAAGTGCTGGATTTAGCCTATAAACAGTTCTGGCCCAACTTACCTGTCTGAATGCATCTCCCCTTATGAAGCTTCCAGGTGTGGGGAGGCCCTGCTCTCGATCCTGTCCTCGTCACAAGCACAGCTGGCGGGGATGAGAGACGGGGCCTTCTCAGTGGTGGCCCCGGCTATGGAACACCCTCCCTAGGGATATCAGATTGGCCCCCTCCCTTTTAACATTCCGGAGAAAAGTCAAGACTTGGCTTTTTGAGCAACCGTTTGCAAGTACATTGTAACTGACATAGGAAAATGGAATGATTAGATGATGTGATTGCTCAATGTTTTCATCAAGGAGACACTAATGATATATGTTTGTTATTGACTTTGCTATGGTATATTTTTTGATGTTTTTAATTTGGTCTTGGTATTTATTTATTTATTTGTTTGTTTGTTTATTAACTAACTATATTTGTATACCGCCTTTCTCAGCCCACGGGCGACTCAAGGCGGTTTACAAATTCAATGCCGAGTACAACATAAAACATTTTAAACAGTTAAAAATACAATCATAATAAAGTCAATAAAACATATATCATTGGTACTGATTGTGAACCCCACCATTGTTGGTGGGGTTCTGAGTACTTTTTGATTGTAGGTGAACTATAAATCCCAGCAACTACAACTCCCAAATGTCAAGGTCTATTTTCCCCAAACTCCACCAGTGTTCTCATTTGGGCATATTGGGTATTTGTGCCAAGTTTGGTCCAGATCCATCATTGTTTGAGTCCACAGTACTCTCTCTATGCAGGTGAACTACAACTCCAAAACTCAATGTCAATGCACACCAAACCCTTCCAGTATTTTTTTTTCGTCATTAGAGTTTTGTGTGACAAGTTTGGTTCAGTTCCATCGTTTGTGGGGTTCCGAATTCTCTTTGTTAGGTGAACTATAAATCCCAGCAACTACAACTCCCAAATGTAGAGGTCTATTTTCCCCAAACAAAACCAGTGTTTACATTTGGGCATATTGAGTATTTGTGCCAAGTTTGGTCCAGATCTATCATTGTTTGAGTCCATAATGCTCTTTGGATGTGGGTGAACTACAACTCCAAAACTCAAGGTCAGTGCTCACCAAACTCTTCCAGAATTTTCAGTTGGTCATAGGATATGTGTGTCAAGTTTGGTTCAATCCTATCGTTTGGGGAGTTCAGAATGCTTTTTGGTTGTAGGTGAAATATACATCCCAGCAACTACAACTCCCAAATGTCAAGGTCTATTTTCCCCAAACTCCACCAGTGTTCACATTTGGGCATATTGAGTATTTATGCCAAGTTTGGTCCAGATCCATCATTGTTTGAGTCCACAGTGCTCTCTGGATGTAGGTGAACTACAACTCCAAAACTCAAGGTCAATGCCCACCAAACCCTTCCAGTATTTTCTGTTGGTCATGAGAGTTCTGTGTGCCAAGTTTGGTTCAATTCCATCGTTGGTGGAATTCAGAATGCTCTTCGATTGTTAGGTGAACTATAAATTCCAGCAACTACAACTCCCAAATGTAGAGGTCTATTTTCCCCAAACAAAACTAGTGTTTACATTTGGGCATATTGAGTATTTGTGCCAAGTTTGGTCCAGCTTCATCATTTTTTGAGTCCGCAATGCCCTCTGGATGCAGGTGAACTACAACTCCAAAACTCAAGGTCAGTGCTCACCAAACCCTTCCAGTATGTTGGTCGCTTCTCATACCAGAAGCGAAGTGGCTTGGGGAGCGGGGGAGCTCCGATCTGTCAGCTCCAGCTTGCCATGCAGGAACATGAAAGAAGTCTCCCACAGGATGGTAATACATCATACCAGAAGCGAAGTGACTTGGGGAGTGGGGTGGGCTCCCAACTGTCAGCTCCAGCTTGCCATGCAAGAACATGAGAGAAGTCTCCCATAGGATGGTAATTTATCCAGGCATCCCCTGGGCAATGTCCTTGCAGGTGGCCAATTCTCTCACACCAGAAGTGACTTGCAGTTTCCCAAGTTGCTCCTGATGTGAAGATCTCCACAGTAATGCAGCCGATGCAGGAAAGGACCTTACGAACCTTATGGGACCTTTTTAACAGGTCAGCTTTGTGCAAGGGAGGAGAAGCCCCAGGCACTGCCCTTGACCCTTCTGGGGAGGGCAGTGCACTGTCAAGGGACAGCTGGTACGTAATAGGGGGCAAGCGCCTTGCCCCTCGTAGCCCAAGTGGCCTCTTAGGACATCGATGCACATGGGAGGAGCAGGAGGCACATCTGGCGCCACTGCTGCTCTGCACTGATAGGGCCTCTCTGGCTGCCTCCCACCCTCTGGCCCCGCCTGACCCCTGCGGTGAGATTAACCCCACAGGACGGAATAGAACAAGACTTTTCTTGAGGTTTCCAATTTTCAAAAGGGCTTCAAAGGTTTACAACTTGTTGGAGGAACATGGGAGGGATTCCTACTTTGACATGGATATCATAGAATCAAAGAGCTGGAAGAGACCTCATGGGCCATCCAGTCCAACCCCCTGCCAAGAAGCAGGAAAGTTGCATTCAAATCACCCCTGACAGATGCCATCCAGCCTCTGTTTAAAAGCTGCCAAAGAAGGAGCCTCCACCACACTCCAGGGCAGAGAGTTCCACTGCTGAACAGCTCTCACAGTCAGGAAGTTCTTCCTCATGTTCAGATGGAATCTCCTTTCGTGTAGTTTGAAGCCATTGTTCCGCGTCCTAGTCTCCAAGGAAGCAGAAAACAAGCTTGCTCCCTCCTCCCTGTGGCTTCCTCTCACATATTTATACATGGCTATCATATCTCCTCTTAGCCTTCTCTTCTTCAGGCTAAACATGCCCAGCTCCTTAAGCCGCTCCTCATAGGGCTTGTTCTCCAGACCCTTGATCATTTTAGTCACCCTCCATGGCAGAGGCAGAGTTTGGTGAATATATAATAATATATAATAATTATTATAGTAACTCATCAAAGTTGTTATAATATTATGATTGTAATACATTTAGCCCCAAAGACTGTCGTCCCCGAAGGCACTCAAGGACGATCAAAATAATAATATAGGAGGAAAAAGAATAGTATTTCTACCCATAGCAGTATCATTCTAAGGGGCAACACTCTGGCCCATTCAAAGCATAGAAAGATGGCCAAAATAACCCCTTAATTTCTAGTTGTTTATTAATTCAGTCACTTCCGACTCTTTGTGACCTCATGGACCATCCCACGCCAGAGCTCCCTGTCGGCCGTCACCACCCCCAGCTCCTTCAGAGTCAAGCCAGTCATTGATTTGTTGTTTTATTCGTTCAGTTGCTTCCGACTCTTCATGACCTCATGGACTAGCCCACGCCAGAGCTCCCTGTCGGCCGTCACCACCCCCAGCCCCTTCAGAGTCAAGCCAGTCATTAATTTGTTGTTTATTCGTTCAGTCGCTTCCGACTCTTCGTGACCTCATGGACCATCCCACGCCAGAGCTCCCTGTCGGCCGTCACCACCCCCAGCTCCTTCAGAGTCAAGCCAGTCATTAATTTGTTGCTTATTCATTCAGTTGCTTCCGACTCTTCGTGACCTCATGGACCAGCCCACGGCAGAGCTCCCTGTCGGCTGTCACTACCCCCAGCTCCTTCAGAGCCAGTCATTAATTTGTTGGTTATTCAATCAGTCGCTTCCAACTCTTCATGACCTCATGGACTTGCCCAGGCCAGAGCGCCCTGTCAGCCATGGCCATTCACAGCTCCTTCAATGTCAAGCCAGTCACTTCAACCCACAGCAACCCATTGATTCCGACCATGAAAGCCTTAGACATTGAGAAAGATAATGTTGGAAATAGCAACCTCCCAAGCCTTTCACTATTGATTTGTTAATGTATATATTTGCTAACATGTATTCTATGTGTATGTTGATTTGCCAGTGAGTACAACTATACTGTCCAGATGCCCGACCACTGTCTCCTAAAGCATGAAGTCACTAAGAGTCAGAAATGACTGAACGAATTAACAACAACATACTTAAAAGACTATGGGTTTTGATAAAGAATGCTCTCCTGTTTTCATAACACAGAGAGAAGTTACATCCTATCTACTACTGAACTTTAATAAGAAATGTGCCTGTATGGTAAATTAATACAAGATGTTTGTGAGTAAACAAGATATGTTATTTTTCAAAGAGGACTTTGGTTGTTTGTTTTTTTTTTATCTCTGAGTGCATATTTTAAACTAAGAGGTTTCAAGGGAGTGTATATCTTTTGGGCAATTTCAACTGCAAAGAAACAACCATCCACTGCTAACCCATTGTTTATGTATTGGCAGTTTAAAGACATGGTTCTTCAGTTCAACAGCTGAGTTACCTGTGTGCCATTACATGAATGCTTGTGAAAATCACTTGTTCAAAGGGTTGACTTCTAACAAAGTCATGCTTTTTCTTGACTAGTGGTTTTCAGAAGGTGGTCTCCACATGTTTATGGAGACTCACATTTGCCAAACAGATGTGACATCATTTTTACCTTTTCAACACATGCACGATGGAGGACCTTCTTGCGGCAACACCAGAGGCACTCCAAATGGCCAGATACTTTTCAAAGGACATTTAATCAGCTACAATTTGCAAAATTTGTGTTTTTTTAAAATCTGTTTGTTTGTTTTGTTCTGTTAGAAATGTAATACAATGTTCTGGTTGCGGATGACACGATAAATAAATAAATGGTGCACTTATTTCCAATACGTTATGCAATTTCCATAACAAAGCCCTTTAAGAAACATGAACAGAAATGTAGGGAAAGGAATCCCTGGAATTGGCCCTGTCTCTGGCTTAGCTATTGATTGATGACTAGGAACTTGATGGAACAAAGACTTAGGTCATCCAGAGTTGAAACCCAACAGCTTCAAAAGCAATGGGGCCCACAAGAGGAGGAAAAGGCCTTATCATAGGAAAAGAGGGCCTCGTGACCAACCAGCTGTGCCTCTTTTCTTCCACAGATAAGACCAGGCTTCTCATCCTTTCTGGGTTTCAAGTACATGAAAAGGTTTAGCATTCCCTGGAGGGGGGTGGGGGTCCTCCAGCTCATCATTAAGTAGATACCCCCAATAATGCTGTCCTGGGACAGAAAGACCCCAACTCTGCCCACTGCTCCAGCAGTTCATCAAGAGCTTGGGTTCCGTGCCCAGGAGGGTGGGGAAGTGTTCCCATGGCAGTCGTGGGGGGGGGGGGG